TTACACCTTCTCAATCATTTTACCTGAGCGCTTCTGCAAACTTCTGACAGGTTGCAGGTCTCACCCAATTATTACAGGTGTGATGTTGTGAGAGCACGAGCGTAACATGGGAATGCTTTGCAACTTTTAACGAAGTTCGGCCATCAACTGTCAGCTTTAAATAGTTTACATATCATCCCTTTGTTGAGACCGACAGAGCGTCGCTACACCAGGAAGGGATGCGCACTTAGCCAAAGAGAAGGAAGTGTGAAAAGAAACCCGTTGTCTATATCAACTCTGAACCAACACCTGCTAGTCACGATAGCTTGTTAAGCACACTTGAATCCGTCCAGCATGGCTCCAGTTGAGTATCAGCCTCTTCTAAAGAGGAGCCGGTGTAAGAATACGTGTTCAAGATTTGGAGCCTGGTCAGGGTTGACAAAAATTCAGCCGAATGACTTCTCTCGTTCTGGGAAATTTATTTGTCAGTTCACAGGTCAAGTATCAGCGCTGCGTTTGCAAAGGCAGGAGCAGTTCAGGCAGCACACAGGCCGGGAGAACAACTCACTAACATCAGCAAGAACATCATGTGTTATAACCCTTGAAAGACAGAGAAGGAAAGATTTCTATTGACCCTAAACTGGCGTAGAGGAGGACCTTCCACCTCCCGCATCTAAGATCCGGTCACATCCAATGTCCAGACTCCTGACTTAACGTAAACATCGTAAACAGAGTGTGTATGTTGAATACACAGCAAATTGAGCAGAGTTAAATTTCTGGTGTTGATAAAGATAGAGTCAATCGAACTCTATTTGGAATTGATCTAAATCTCTATGTTGTTAAATCTGTTTGATTTCACACTGCACCACAAAAGAGTTGGTGTCAAAATGGAGTGTTATTACTGTTATTGTGAAACCAACTCTATGGGTCGTCAGTCTCTCAGCTCGGGTGTAAGGAGTGACTACCCTCTGGCATCGCGCGAACAATAATCTCGTGAGAGCAACAATCTGGCGGGATTCAAGTAATTTACCTGCACAACTCAACTGGAACGCAACGAGCAGCACAACGTTTTCGAGGACAGTTTGTTCAAAATTGAAGAAAACGTGTTGCATTGTGTCGGTAAGTAACAGTTAATTAGATAACCTAATGAGTGCTATTATTATATACAGATGGACATATATTTAGACATTAGTAATACATTTATAGCCGCTGTAATGTAGGTTAACTGTTATGCTGCCGCCTTTACTCCAGCCAGGCTAATGTCAGCTAGCTAGCAACCGTAACCTACGCCCAGAGCGGACAAACTACTGTAGGCTACGGTAACTGGCAAGCTAACGTTAGCAAGATTTTTTTTCTTCTACTTTCACACATTTTCTGATTATTGGTCTATCGAGTCTGGCTGTGAGCAAAATAGAATTGAATTCCTGTTGAGTGTTTAGAGTTTGGCAATGTAACGTTAAGTTATGTGACGGTACTTAAGTAATGCCAACATTCTTTCAAATAAAAAAATGCTAGTTAGCTGGCTAGCTAAGAGCCAGAACCGGTTCCCACGTCTTAGCTGCATGGAAGCAAATATTCTCATAGAGGACTGGGTATATGTATATCTAAATTACATTTTGATTATCAGAAGTGTGGGTAGTTAATATAAAGTTACTATCGGAAAGTTAATCTGAAGGACTCTTTTCTCAAATACGTTTTACTGTGCTTATAGTTACTCAACGCGCAGGGCTCAAGTTTTGAAGAGGGGGGGGGGAGGGGGAGGACTGAACGCTACGGCTGACCGGGCGTGGACACTACGTGCAGCGGTTACGGTTACAGACACCGTCGGGAAGGTTGGAGGGGAGCCAGCGCGGACTTTTTTTTCAGCGTGAGAAATACGATGTGTGGCGTAACACTTGAGAGCCCTGACGCCACCAGTTACAGCGCGTGCAAAGCTCTTCACAATCGAATGCATTTATTCCATGCTAAATGCATTAAATTGACATTGACAAGAGCGCAAGTGCATAGAAACTGCAGTTGGACTAACGTTAGGCAGAATTACACGTTAAAGCTCTGCAGCTCTGTTTCGTGCTGAGGTTAGCTAAGCTTTTCTTTTCTGCTGGTGTTTTATGATAATGCCTAAAACAAGCGCACGTGGGTATTTTTATTTTACCGACTGACTCAGCTAAAGAGCTGCTGGACAAGTGGAAATTTAATCGGCTTTGATCAAAGACTACTATTTCTGTGCTAATTCATGTTGTTTTCATGTGCTAAAAACTTGTTTTAGAGAGGCATGACTGGCTCCTATTTGGACTTGTTTTAATCTGTCTTATTCTTTATCATTTTACAGGAAATGTTGGCTAAAGTGGAGATTGGAGGGGTCCTAAAATACGTGAAAATTCCAGAGACTGATGGATTTTTTCAATTTGATATGTTCCTTCAAGAAGGTTTGTAGTTTATGGCTATATATTTTGCATTCATTACTGTTCTCACTGTAGTTGAACATTCAATTTAAAAATTATCTGAATAAAGAGGTCAAAAGTACTAGTGTTATTAGCATATTAATGACCAAAATGGCTTTGTCCAAACATGAAAAAAATCTCCATGCCTAATTCATATTGTTATTGCTTTATACTAATACTTTTTATTCTTCTAGTGAACGACAAGTTTAGTCTGCAGCCAGACAGCTTCAGTGAGGGCCAGTTCACCATCACAGATATGTCAGGAACAGAGGTGGATGGAGATATCTTTGATGAGCTTGTCAAGTCGGGTGTCCTGACCTTCAAGGTCCCTTTACCAGTAATGGGTAAGGATGTGAAGGCTGGGGTTTGATGAGGTATCACAGACAACGTCAAGTAGAAAGCACAGTGTTTTGTCGGAAATATATTTTTGAGAGACCTCAACCTATGCTATAATTTGATATACTACTGATCATTGTCTTAAATACATATGATCTATCACTGGGTAGTAATTAAGGAAGAATATAATATGCTTAGTACTTTTTAAATGCTTTATTTAAGATTGAGATTGTTTTGTTACTGATAGGTACATGTTAATTGTCTTTGTTCTGTCTGCCATTTTGTAGATCTGGATGTTGAGCTGGTTGCAGATCAAGCATCCTCCTCTGTATTGACATCGCTGTCCCCAACTTCATCCCATTCATCCTTGGTAGTGGCACAGACTGCACTATCCCCAGCTTTATCCCATTCATCTGATTCCACCGTTATTCTGGAGTCCACAAGAAAAAGGAGGAACCCAACAGGGTTAATGGACCAGAATGAAGCAAAACAGGTAAGCTTTGAATAAATGCATTTGAAATCCTAAATTAGGTTTTTTTGTAAATGTATTCGCAGTATCAAGTAATGTCATTAGAAAAGTTAAATTCTTTAAAAAAAAAACACTAAATTACCGTAAGCGTGCCATAACAATGTAATATTTCTTGGCAGATGGTTGAGGGTGTTCTGAGAGCCAATCCAAAGGGTGAAGAAGTCTTCAATGAGTATGACAAGACTAAAACACTAACTGATGCGACCCGTAAACAAATGGTGAACATCCTGGTTGCAGATATGGTAGAGCTACATGGGTAAGAATTGCAAGTCACTTGGTTATGTCATGTCATGTGTTGTAGCTAAATAATGCTGTTCTGTATAAGTGGTAAAGGTGTATTTATTCTTACAAAACATACATGCTTAAAAGTAAACTATGACTTATTTTTAAAGGAGGGTTCCACCGTCAAGTGTAAGGACCAATTATGCACTGGGAATTGTGACTCTTTTTCCATACCTCCGTGATCCATTCTCCAAACTTGGATATGTAAGTTATATCTGAAAACCAAATCAGTGTGATTTCAATATCTTCTTCACTTTTCTAGTTTGTACTCATCTTGTTTCAGATGAGTTTTTGTAGGTTGCTCACCCTTGCATTTTCAACCTGTTTTTTAAAATGTTTTGCAGTCTATTCACTGTCTACAATTTTTGTGTTGAGTAACTTATTCTTAAATTGAAGCATGAGATGCCTCTGTTTGGGTCTTTCTTTAAAAAGGAACACTACTATGATCCTGAGGGTAATACCGGCTTCATTTCATGGAGGATCAAGACGGTTCAACGCAACACCTTTGCTGGCTTGCGGGGTCGTTCCAAGACCGTTCTTCAGGATGGTCCAAAAACCAGGCGAGAATCTCTGTCAACCTGCCAACAGCTATTTGGTGAGGAGTGCAGGGAGGCGATATCTACAATAAGACATTCCAGCGATGAATCTGTGGTCAAAGAGAAGATGAGAGCGACTTTCCAGTATCGACAGAAGATGGTTGGGGATGATGCATCATCTTCAGTCCTGGATGTGTTCCCTCGTTTTCTTGATGTACCTGGATTGGTAAGAAAACTCTTTTGCTTTGGTTGTAGTTGTCCAGTGTAGAACAGTAATATAGTCCAGTGCAGGACAATATAATATCTGTCTGCACTATACTATAATCTCTTTAATCTTCTTTTCAATCTTCCATTTCAGTATTTGACCTTTCATTCATTTTGTCATGTATGCTTGAACCTGTATATTAAAATATTGTTTTCCTTGTTTGTAGATCGACCAGGATTTCTCAATGATGTTTGGTGACGAAGTGTCTCAGAAGTTCCTGTCCAAGTGGTCAACTTTCTTCAAGCCAAACATCATCACAGACTGCAAGACTGCAACGAATATGGATGAGTTGCTGTCGGCAACTGAATTTGAGTCTGAAGAGAACAATGGTCAGTATAAAAAGTTTTGTTTAAATATATATTTCAGTGTTATACTAAATAAATACATTTTTTATGCCTTTAGGATGGGACAGTGATATGTCTTCAATCCTTTTGCTGCTGCAGCTACTCCCTCCAACTTCAAGGGGCCAGAAAAAAACTGCCAAGATCAGTTCAGCTCAAGCAACCAGCCATCTTGTTAGATATCTTAAGGTATGCAAAAGTTCCTACACCAAGAATCCCTGAATAGATGTTGGGATTCTGAGACAGTTTTGCTCTGTATATCTGCAGAAATGTGATCAAGATGTTATAGTAATTTATGTCTCCTAACTGACCTACAGGAAGGAGCCAGTATTACTACCTTCCTTGAGAGTGTCGACGCAAGACAACCGTTCCTCCTTTGCATCGGTGAGCAAAAGAAGAATATCCAAAGGTTCTACCTTATTATCGACCGAAAACCAATCCCGTGCAAGGCACACACATCAGTAGCAGCTTTTGATGAACTGTTCAAAGCTCACTACGTCTTCAGTCTCTCATATGACGAAGCTCTTTGTAATTTTTACACATTCATCCAAACCACTATATACAACATCGATGTCGGAAGAGCAAAGGAGAGCCCGCGTGTTAAAGAACTCCGAGCACGACTGCTGCAGCGAAGTGCTGTAACCGATAAACAGCCTTGAAGATGTTCACGTGTTTTGTCTGTAAAACACACCACAAAACGTGTGTGGTTCTTTGCCAACATTTAAAATTCCAACATGGTTTATATCCTGGCAAAAAGTTGCGTTTAAAATGTGGAGAGCTCCATTGCCCATTATCATTTTGTACTTATAGTGGCTTCCGAAAGCACCTCACCAAGGTGCATAGTCAGGTTGATCAAGAGATTGATATTGTTCATGATGTTTCTACTCAGCGAGAATGTGAGGCGGAATGTTCAAGTGATTCCCCAAATGTTGTTGCCACTTTGCAAAAGTCAGAAAGCTCTGTTGATACAAGTCAACTATCGTCAATGTGTGGATCAATTGTTGCGCATTTGCAAGCATCAGGTCTCTCTGAAAGTGCTGTCCAAACGATTGTTTGTTCAATGGAAGAAGTTGTCAATGATGTTAAAAGTGAGGCAAAAAATGCTGTTCTTAAAACAATGTCTTCTGAAAATACAAGTTCAGACACTCCAGGATCCAGAATAGATAATTGTTTTGATCAATTAGGTAATCCTTTTACAGCATTAAACACAGAGTCAAAAAGGCGTAAATATTATAATGAAAAATGGGAAATAGTTGAACCTAAAGAATGTGTCCTTGGTGTGAGGCTGGATTTGCGCAGAGATAGAATAACAGGGGTATACAATGAGATTCCTGTAACGGACAAGTGTACGTATGTACCCATTCTGAGTACACTTAAATCCATATTCAAAAATGACCAAGTAAGAGAAAGCTTTCTACGGGACAAACAGAGTGAAAATGGCATTTACAAAGACATCAATGATGGGTCATATTGCCAAAACCATGCCCTGTTCTCACAGCAAAAACATGCACTACAGATTCTACTATATTACGATGACTTTGAAACGGCTAACCCTCTCGGTTCCAAAAAGGGGATCCACAAACTAGGTTGTGTCTACTTTACTTTAAAAAATCTTCCACCCAAGTGTAACTCAGTACTGATGAATGTACATCTGGCAGCTCTGTTTCATTCTGAAGATCTGAAAAAATATGGTTTTGATGTGATACTAAAGCCTCTTATTGATGATCTGAAATTTTTAGAAACCAAAGGCTTAAAGCTTCCTTCTTTTGAACAACCATTGTTTGGCTCAGTTATTCAAGTAACGGGAGATAATTTGGCTTTAAATGGCTTGTTGGGGTTTGTGGAATCATTCAGTGCAACCCATTTCTGTAGATTTTGTTTAATCAGTAAGCAAGAAATTCAATCTATATTTACTGAAGATCATCCTGGGTTAATTATCCGTTCCAAAGAGCTTTATACTGAACATTGTAAGGCACTAAATGAAAATCCTGAACTGCGGTCAATATATGGTGTTAAAAAGTCATGTGTGCTCAACTCCTTACAGTATTTCCATTGCACTGACAACTATGCTGTTGACATAATGCACGATCTGCTGGAGGGTGTAGTACAGTACGAACTAAAGCTGAATTTTGAGTACCTTGTTAAACAGGGCTATATCTCTTTGAACACATTGTCAAACAGGATACAGAGCTTTAATTATGGTTACACGGAGCGTAGAAACAAACCAAGTGGGATAAAAATGGATGATAAGAGCAAAGATCTAGGTTTGAATGCCATCCAGTCATGGTGTCTCCTGCGTAACGCTCCACTAATGTTTGGTGATGTCATTGAAAAGAATAACAGTTACTGGAACTTTCTGCTGCTTTTGATCCAGATTGTCAATATAGTGTTTTCCTACACCATAACTGATGGAATGATATGCTACTTGAAACATCTGATCTGTGATCACCATACTCTGTTCAAAGCATTGTTTCCTGACAAGAGGTTGATTCCCAAGCACCACTTGATGGTACACTATCCTAGATGCATACAAAAAATTGGCCCTCTTATCCATATGTGGTGCATGCGATTTGAAGCTAAACACAATTTTTTCAAAAGATGTGGCAAAAATTTTAAGAATCTCACTAAATCATTAGTGAAACAACATCAGCGTCAATTGGCATTTAACTATGAAAATTATTGCTTTAGAAGGTTTGAATTTGGTCCTACATCATCCAAAAACATCTGCAACTTGCAAGGTGGGAAAGAAATTAGTGAGACATTACATTTGGATGCCTGTTCAAATGTTACAAGTACAAGGTGGGTCAGATATTACGGTACTGAGTACCAGGTTGGGTTGTACTTATGCACTGGATGTACCGATGATCTTCCTGTGTTCAAAAAGATCTGTGATATTATAATACATGAACAGCATGCTTTCATAATATCCTGTAATGTACAAACAATGTACTATGATGACCACTTTAGTGCATACTGTATAGAAGACCAAATGAATGTGTTTTCTGTCATATCTGTGAAGGCACTGACTTATTTTAGACCATTTGACAAGCAATGCTCTAATGACAATAGTCAAAGAGCATACATAGTGCCTTATTGTTACATTTAGATAAATGTACAGCAATGAAAAAAGATTTGGTAATGTTGATGCATTTGAAGAAATAAAAATGTTAAAGTAGTGAACTTGTCATTCGTATTTCTAATTATTGACATTTCATTTAGAGATTTTTTTTTGGTGTGGGGGGGCGGGGGGGGGCAGCAATAACACTTTATAGTGTTAATGGGGCAACTCCTTTTATAGTATGCACATCACACTATAAGAGTTAATTAATGACTCCGATGAGTATTAATTTCTAACACTACCCACTGGTGTTGAGAAACTAACGCTTGAATATTGTTAAATTTCAACTATATAAGAGTTAAAATTAACTCTATAACAGTGTTAAAATGGCAACACTTTAAAAAGTGTTACATTGACACTGTGTAGTGTGGACCCCATGGGACACTTTAAAAGTGTTAAAATTAACTACAATAGTGTTAATTTGAGTCTGTCCATTTTGCTGTGTAGAAAGGCATTTTAAGTTAGTCAAAAAATACTTTTAAAAGTCAATAGTATAATATGTTTTATGTATATATGTCGAAAAAATACATTAAAAGTATTGTAAAGTTTGATTAAAACATCATGCTATTCCCAAAAGAAATCACATGAAGAAAAAATCAAAGTATAGTATTTATTTTGAAAAGACAGAAAAAAAGTTATGATATAGTTTATCGAAATAAAAGCTATGACAAGAATATTATTTTTAAAAAACGAATTAAAAGATTCCAGTGCATTTGTCAAGACAGTTTGCAGCTTTTCCTGTCATTGCGATTTCATTTAATAATGTCTTCCCAGAGCGCCCTAAAGAGGCGTCATTACCGCCCTCCCATCTGTCCTAATCCGTCTGAGAGGGTCCTGGTCCGGCACAGCTGCAGCGTGCCGCGGCTGCCTGCAGGTGGCGACGCATACTCATGTCTCTGGAGAGACGATGCTGATGCTGCTGCTGCTGCTGGTTGGATGGATGAACAGCCAGCAGCTCCCTGCTCGTCTTCCTCCTCCGCGGCTGAAGCTGCCTGCAGGATCGCTGCAGGATGAGGTTAATGCGAGTTATATAAATATAAAAAGGCAGGTTGTTAACTCCTACAGCAAGTCACACTTCCGAAGAGAGATCAGTTGCATCCCAAACCCTCTGCATTGTCTCACTCGAATCAACCTAAAACTATATTTAAGTCACATGCATTTTGAAATAACGACGGTTGTGTCAAAGCCTCGAAAGAAACCAAAAAGTGTCAACAAGGAATGATTGATGAATAAGAACAGGCTGGTCTTGGTTTGGAGACTTTTGGAGACTGACTTTGTCCCGGTGGTTAAAAAAATGCTGCTTCAGTGTTCGCCAGCCTCCAAAGGGAGAACCACGTTTACAACCTTTCTAAACACAACAGTTCAAAAACAGGCCGTAACTGTTTTTAATTGTGCTCCTATTACATTATGTTGACGTCATTTAATACTTTACATCGCGGTGGTCAGGAAAGCAAAAGCGTTTTAAAAACACGGGGCTTTGTTCTAACTTGCATACAACAAAATCCACTTAAGGCAGTGTGAACAAACTGCTCACTTTATAATGAATATGCAACTGTCCAAACATTTCACTGCACACAGACATCCACTACTAATATATTTAACAAAGCAAAACAGATCTAATTTAAATATTTGGACCACTAGCTGAGAAAAAAATATTTATTTGTTTTGAAGGTTCGAAGTCAAAACGTTCTGAAAGTTGAAAATGTGTCGATTTTAACAAAATTACAATATATTCTACTTTGTTGGTATAATATGAGGTTAAAGGGGGTAGTTGGGGTGAATGGTGATTTAAGAGTGAAAATGTATAGAATATTGTACTTTTTCTCTCCAAACCTCCAGCCTGCTGGAAAACGCAGGATCCTCCTCCATGTTTTAATTTGATCAACAACAAGAAACAAACGCATTTGACGTGGAATTGTTTACAATTTTATTTGGTATTGTACAAAAAGTGTGGAATAAACATATATACAGCACATAATACAACACACTTATTAAAGAAATTCATATAAATTATTAACGAAATAGCTACATTCTTTTCAATAAACAACTCTATTCAAGGTAAAAGAAAGTCAATATTCTTGGCATAAAATTTCCATACAAAATTGTACAAAATACTGTACAATTGAACAAAGCTGTGCAAAACAGCAAATTGTGTCCCAGACGCAGATGTTGTACAGTGCGCATTCGCTGATGAAGCAACAAATTTGAAAAAGAAAATGTTTTTAACAATTACATTTAGGTGTTTGACAGCTCCTTACAAATCTGCTCACAGTCTCATATGAAAACAAAACACGGGTTATATTCTCTCTATGTGGGCTTATTTTTTTTAAATAAATTAAGATACGTTTATTTCTTCTTCCTCTGACTCTGAGAAGTCCGAGTGCTTACTGGAAAGAGACGGAGAGGAGACGATGGAGTCCGCACGGATTCTCTGTCTTTGAAACTCTTCTTCCTCGTCTTCCTCCTCGGCTGAGGACTTCTTGCCCACGTCGCTGAGGTCCGGGTGCGGGTTGGCTTTGGTGGGCAGCGTCTGCTCCCGGCAGCCACCGGATGAAAGCAGTTCGCGTTCCTTGGAGTTCCTCCACTTCATTCTGCGGTTCTGGAACCAAATTTTCACCTGTAGACAGCAAGAAAAGAAGAAAAAAGTGTGAGTGAAAAAAGTTTTGGGGTCAAGTGCTGCGGGATGAGGAACAGCGTTATTACGCGCAAATTACGCACGACGTGTCTAGGATTTGAATCCCATTCAAAGTTTTACCTGCGAGTCTTTCAGGCCCAGTTTGGAGGCGAGCTTCTTCCTGTCGGGCTTGCTGATGTATTTCTGTTTCTGGAACATTTTCTCCAGGGCTTTGCGCTGCACATCGGAGAACACCGCCCTCCTCAGCATCCCTCTCCGGGGTTTCCCTCTGGCGGCGAGGGGCCAAGAAAAGGTCCCGGGAATGGGGACAACGGATGAAGACGCTAAAAAAAAAAAAACAAAGAGACAAAATTGGATTTTGTTAGCTTGGTTTTTCTTTGCCAGATAAAAAAAAAGAACGTTTCGTGAGGACGGAATTAGCCAGGACGCCCCTGCAGGCACAAATGAACAACCAAGGGATGTTGAATATTCCACTGTTGTATCTAAACTCAAAAGCACTCAGACATCTATATGCATATAATGATTCCCCTCTAAAGCCGCACTTTTAAACCGGTTATTATTGGAAGGTTTCTCCCTTTGGAACTGAGCGGTGCGTCTCCGCTTGGAGTGAAATGGCACGAGGTGACTAATTAGCACATTGGCCGGTCCCCAACCGCATTGGTATGGTAAAGAGGTAGCATATCCTTTAAGGAACCCTGTGAGGGCGGATAGAGGAGTTAATAAACCGTGAACGGTAATTGTGTAGTAATGAACTAACGCAGAAAAGACTCTGGACAGGCGGTGAAGGCCATATATTATCGCAACAAAAGGAGATTTACACTTTCAAACTAAACACAACTGCATACCAGAATACTGATGCCCGGGGGGGGGGGGCTGAAGAGTGGAGGGGAATGGCGCTTTTTCCCCCCCCTCCTTCTTCTTGCCTTCAAATCATTTTCATTAAATGAACACGAAAAGCTTTTCAGGACGCTGGAGTTGTTTTGTTGAGGCTTTCGGCTGAGCCCATGAAAAGACTCCATCTCCATTATGATTTGTGTGAATGAAAGCACGGACCGGCGACTTTATAGACTTTTCTAAGAGATGATTCTTTATCTCAACTCGTTGATTGGTCCGCGTGGGGAATAAACGTTTAGGGCGCACACAGAGAGAAAGAGAGAGAGAGGGAGGATTGGAAGTCAGCGGTAACGTATCCTATGGGCCGAGCAGCGCGCCGGCTGGGACATGTTGGATGCACCAGGACTCTTTTTTTTTTTTTTTTTTCAAAGAAAAATCGCATTACTTCAACTCCCTCCGCGCGAGACACTTGTCCTGTCTGCTTTCTGCTGACTGGACGTCCTCCCCGCACAAGCTGCCCTGTGGCCGCAGAAGAATCAGGAACAACGACGCGCCATGTGGTCTTGTGAGAATATTGAAAACTCTCAATAGCGCCTAATAGGGAAATTAGGGCATGACTGGTTGACGCCTTTGCACCCCCCACCGTACACATACACACTTAGTTTCATGTAGCTGTAGCCCTCCTTCATGCCTCCCTCCCCATCTCCATATCCAGTCCCACAGGAGCCTTTGTTGTACTGTAACACCTTTATGTGCCATAACAAGCCTGTCAAGCCGACATAAAGCCCATCTGTTGATCTCACCGTCCACGCGCCGCCGATGCCAACCGTCATAATGTACCGTCACACGGGTTCTGTTCGAGGGGAGCCGTTAACGGCGTCTGTGGTTAGAAGCAAACAAACAAATTGCTTTCATATTTAGGAAAAATGCCTCATGCCATTTTGTGTTTTTGTTTTTGAGTCGTTGTCATAACTCCAGTCTGAGCACGTACGGAACCATTAAGTCACGATTGTCGCCTCATCTCGTCATAAACAAAAGATCTGTGTTCTATATCTTCTTTTTTTATTTATTTTTTAACTAATCACTAAATGTCTGGAAATGGTTAATTCAAGGAGGAAGCTGCCAACTCGGCGACATTGACTCATATTTGAACAGATCACAGCCCCACAGGAAGCCCCTCCATAGCTCAAAGGTCTCCACAAAGCACCGTTAGCCTCTAACTGGAGGATCGGCTGCTATCTGTAGTGTGTGAGTGAATCCATGTAAAGGAGTTCTAACGCTTTAAATGTTTCTTCTGTCTGGTGTTAATGTTTTCGCACCCAGATTGATTGCTTTGAGCTATTATTTAAAAAGGCAAGAAGGGGGTTGTTGATATTTTTAGATGCTTTTTTAATTATTGAGAAAGAAAACCGACTTAATGATTGCTTGATATTTTTTTTAGATAAAACAGATAATAACTTTTTTTGCTGCACTGTTTGTATCTGCACCTGTGGGTTTATATTTTCAGCTCTTCGTGGTTTACACATCTCTTAATTTATGGAAAGCGCATTTCTGTCTACTTTGAAAAGGAGGCAGGGTTTAACCCAACAGGTGTAGAATTACTTAATGGACATAAAGGGCACAGAGGTCCTAGATAAACTCCCATTGCCCACATTTTGACTTTTTTTGTGTACACGTGTATACACTTGGGCGATGTGAAGTGTTTCTATATATGTGGGAGTGTGTAGAAAGGGAGAGAGGGCCTTGACCATTTCGAGGTTTTTCTGAGGTGATTCTGTTCTGCAGGGTTTGTGAAGCGCTTTGGGGCCCAGAGCAGATGAAAGGTGCTATTTAAATGTAAGTGCCACTCCATTCCTTCATTTCCCTTCATGTCGTACTGCTCCAAACCTTTCTCTAGCCTGTCACACACCCCCCACTCCTCCTCCACACACACACACACACACACACACACATATACCTGATCACCGCAATTCTACCACCATTAAAATGCCACACATATCACCACGAGCACACAGAGCTCCACATGACGCAGACTTTTCCTTTACCTGTCCTTCTCCTCCTCCTCATCATTTTGTGTGATTCAATTTCAAGGGGGGTCTGTTTTTTTTTCGATGTGCACCTCCCCCTTAATCTGTCCTTTTGCTTCTGCTAAAGGCATAAAAAATGTATTTATTTAGTATAACACTGAAATATATATTTAAACAAAACTTTTTATACTGACCATTGTTCTCTTCAGACTCAAATTCAGTTGCTGACAGCAACTCATCCATATTCGTTGCAGTCTTGCAGTCTGTGATGATGTTTGGCTTGAAGAAAGTTGACCACTTGGACAGGAACTTCTGAGACACTTCGTCACCAAACATCATTGAGAAATCCTGGTCGATCTACAAACAAGGAAAACAATATTTTAATATACAGGTTCAAGCATACATGACAAAATGAATGAAAGGTCAAATACTGAAATGGAAGATTGAAAAGAAGATTAAAGAGATTATAGTATAGTGCAGACAGATATTATATTGTCCTGCACTGGACTATATTACTGTTCTACACTGGACAACTACAACCAAAGCAAAAGAGTTTTCTTACCAATCCAGGTACATCAAGAAAACGAGGGAACACATCCAGGACTGAAGATGATGCATCATCCCCAACCATCTTCTGTCGATACTGGAAAGTCGCTCTCATCTTCTCTTTGACCACAGATTCATCGCTGGAATGTCTTATTGTAGATATCGCCTCCCTGCACTCCTCACCAAATAGCTGTTGGCAGGTTGACAGAGATTCTCGCCTGGTTTTTGGACCATCCTGAAGAACGGTCTTGGAACGACCCCGCAAGCCAGCAAAGGTGTTGCGTTGAACCGTCTTGATCCTCCATGAAATGAAGCCGGTATTACCCTCAGGATCATAGTAGTGTTCCTTTTTAAAGAAAGACCCAAACAGAGGCATCTCATGCTTCAATTTAAGAATAAGTTACTCAACACAAAAATTGTAGACAGTGAATAGACTGCAAAACATTTTAAAAAACAGGTTGAAAATGCAAGGGTGAGCAACCTACAAAACTCATCTGAAACAAGATGAGTACAAACTAGAAAAGTGAAGAAGATATTGAAATCACACTGATTTGGTTTTCAGATATAACTTACATATCCAAGTTTGGAGAATGGATCACGGAGGTATGGAAAAAGAGTCACAATTCCCAGTGCATAATTGGTCCTTACACTTGACGGTGGAACCCTCCTTTAAAAATAAGTCATAGTTTACTTTTAAGCATGTATGTTTTGTAAGAATAAATACACCTTTACCACTTATACAGAACAGCATTATTTAGCTACAACACATGACATGACATAACCAAGTGACTTGCAATTCTTACCCATGTAGCTCTACCATATCTGCAACCAGGATGTTCACCATTTGTTTACGGGTCGCATCAGTTAGTGTTTTAGTCTTGTCATACTCATTGAAGACTTCTTCACCCTTTGGATTGGCCCTCAGAACACCCTCAACCATCTGCCAAGAAATATTACATTGTTATGGCACGCTTACGGTAATTTAGTGTTTTTTTTTTAAAGAATTTAACTTTTCTAATGACATTACTTGATACTGCGAATACATTTACAAAAAAACCTAATTTAGGATTTCAAATGCATTTATTCAAAGCTTACCTGTTTTGCTTCATTCTGGTCCATTAACCCTGTTGGGTTCCTCCTTTTTCTTGTGGACTCCAGAATAACGGTGGAATCAGATGAATGGGATAAAGCTGGGGATAGTGCAGTCTGTGCCACTACCAAGGATGAATGGGATGAAGTTGGGGACAGCGATGTCAATACAGAGGAGGATGCTTGATCTGCAACCAGCTCAACATCCAGATCTACAAAATGGCAGACAGAACAAAGACAATTAACATGTACCTATCAGTAACAAAACAATCTCAATCTTAAATAAAGCATTTAAAAAGTACTAAGCATATTATATTCTTCCTTAATTACTACCCAGTGATAGATCATATGTATTTAAGACAATGATCAGTAGTATATCAAATTATAGCATAGGTTGAGGTCTCTCAAAAATATATTTCCGACAAAACACTGTGCTTTCTACTTGACGTTGTCTGTGATACCTCATCAAACCCCAGCCTTCACATCCTTACCCATTACTGGTAAAGGGACCTTGAAGGTCAGGACACCCGACTTGACAAGCTCATCAAAGATATCTCCATCCACCTCTGTTCCTGACATATCTGTGATGGTGAACTGGCCCTCACTGAAGCTGTCTGGCTGCAGACTAAACTTGTCGTTCACTAGAAGAATAAAAAGTATTAGTATAAAGCAATAACAATATGAATTAGGCATGGAGATTTTTTTCATGTTTGGACAAAGCCATTTTGGTCATTAATATGCTAATAACACTAGTACTTTTGACCTCTTTATTCAGATAATTTTTAAATTGAATGTTCAACTACAGTGAGAACAGTAATGAATGCAAAATATATAGCCATAAACTACAAACCTTCTTGAAGGAACATATCAAATTGAAAAAATCCATCAGTCTCTGGAATTTTCACGTATTTTAGGACCCCTCCAATCTCCACTTTAGCCAACATTTCCTGTAAAATGATAAAGAATAAGACAGATTAAAACAAGTCCAAATAGGAGCCAGTCATGCCTCTCTAAAACAAGTTTTTAGCACATGAAAACAACATGAATTAGCACAGAAATAGTAGTCTTTGATCAAAGCCGATTAAATTTCCACTTGTCCAGCAGCTCTTTAGCTGAGTCAGTCGGTAAAATAAAAATACCCACGTGCGCTTGTTTTAGGCATTATCATAAAACACCAGCAGAAAAGAACAGCTTAGCTAACCTCAGCACGAAGCAGAGCTGCAGAGCTTTAACGTGTAATTCTGCCTAACGTTAGTCCAACTGCAGTTTCTATGCACTTGCGCTCTTGTCAATGTCAATTTAATGCATTTAGCATGGAATAAATGCATTCGATTGTGAAGAGCTTTGCACGCGCTGTAACTGGTGGCGTCAGGGCTCTCAAGTGTTACCCACACATCGTATTTCTCACGCTGAAAAAAAAGACCGCGCTGGCTCCCCTCCAACCTTCCCGACGGTGTCTGTAACCGTAACCGCTGCACGTAGTGTCCACGCCCGGTCAGCCGTAGCGTTCAGTCCTCCCCCTCCCCCCCCCCTCTTCAAAACTTGAGCCCTGCGCGTTGAGTAACTATAAGCACAGTAAAACGTATTTGAGAAAAGAGTCCTTCAGATTAACTTTCCGATAGTAACTTTATATTAACTACCCACACTTCTGATAATCAAAATGTAATTTAGATATACATATACCCAGTCCTCTATGAGAATATTTGCTTCCATGCAGCTAAGACGTGGGAACCGGTTCTGGCTCTTAGCTAGCCAGCTAACTAGCATTTTTTTATTTGAAAGAATGTTGGCATTACTTAAGTACCGTCACATAACTTAACGTTACATTGCCAAACTCTAAACACTCAACAGGAATTCAATTCTATTTTGCTCACAGCCAGACTCGATAGACCAATAATCAGAAAATGTGTGAAAGTAGAAGAAAAAAAATCTTGCTAACGTTAGCTTGCCAGTTACCGTAGCCTACAGTAGTTTGTCCGCTCTGGGCGTAGGTTACGGTTGCTAGCTAGCTGACATTAGCCTGGCTGGAGTAAAGGCGGCAGCATAACAGTTAACCTACATTACAGCGGCTATAAATGTATTACTAATGTCTAAATATATGTCCATCTGTATATAATAATAGCACTCATTAGGTTATCTAATTAACTGTTACTTACCGACACAATGCAACACGTTTTCTTCAATTTTGAACAAACTGTCCTCGAAAACGTTGTGCTGCTCGTTGCGTTCCAGTTGAGTTGTGCAGGTAAATTACTTGAATCCCGCCAGATTGTTGCTCTCACGAGATTATTGTTCGCGCGATGCCAGAGGGTAGTCACTCCTTACACCCGAGCTGAGAGACTGACGACCCATAGAGTTGGTTTCACAATAACAGTAATAACACTCCATTTTGACACCAACTCTTTTGTGGTGCAGTGTGAAATCAAACAGATTTAACAACATACAGATTTATGTTTTTAACTCTGCTCAATTTGCTGTGTAGACAATCACAAACACTTTTTCTTCTAACTTACTACATAATTACTTTTGTATAATTTGTTACTCTCCACCTTGACTTTATGGCTTTTTATTGTGAACATTTTCAATTTTTTTTTTTTTTCAGGAACCTTTTGACAAAATTCAGTCATAAATAATCATACATTTTATTGAATCACAATAACTTAAGACTAGTACAGTCAGTCCTTGACGAACTGCATCAATCCGCCCTGATGTAAAGAGACTGTACACAAAATACTCCTTTTCAAGTACTGTAACAAATCGTTGCTAGAAAAAGTCATCAAAATGCTGTCAGATAATTAACTATTTACAGGGTCATGTTACATTAAAAAATGTACAAAGAAGGCTTAACATTCATTGACTTTGTGAGTAATAAACCGACAGACTGGTCAAAATGCTTTCACAACATCCACACCTCTAAGAGCAGACGTTACTGGAGACAAACAGAGAATCTGTCCCTTTGTGCTTACAAGTACCATAGCAGGAGCGCCTCCAACATCTACACAGACATATGCACAAAGAACATGGGGCACGAATCGAATCCGTGAGTCCCAACGGGTCTGATTCCACGCTGGAAGTTTCGGCAGTGCTGAAGCCGCGCAGGGGACACGCGCACATAACAGCTTTTGGCTTCCAGTTGGAGATCAGAATGAATGTTGCATAGGATCTGTGAGTAAAACACTGAAAGCCGTGGACGTAGCGCCGGATAACATGACCCCGCCCTTCCCAGAAGGTGGGCCGGGGGGGTTGAAGAAGACAAAAAGTACAATTCTTTACATTTCAAGCCACGGAAATAAAAGTCAAACTGTTTTACGATATCATTCAACCACAGGTACCTTTATACTTTTAACCTCTGATTCCTTATGTCACTATGAACAAAGCAGCATATACACTAGTTTTCACTTAATTAGTTGAACATGTTTGATAGGACAGTTTTTTCATCACAAATCACATAAAACAGAATTATGAGCGTGACGAAAGCACAGTGAGAGGACGGGGATGAGGTATGACATCAACACATCGTCTTGGACTTTCCTCACCCGGTCAATCTGCAAAAACGTTCCCACTTCGAGCACCAAAAACACATCAATATATATTTATTTATTTATTCATTCCCAGCCGGTGGCCCAAATCGCCACCGTCACAGCACTGGGTTACGCATGCATACACCTCAATTTGGAACCCAAAGTACTGCTTCTGGTCCGCGGCGCCATCCCGTCGCCTTGCTGTAGGATGTGATGAGAGAGTCGCAGCTGCTCCTCGGCCCCCCGCGGGGGCTTCGAGGAGAGAGTCGACTCGGAGCCCTATTTTTTACGTTACAGCCACTTAGACGAAATAAAAAAAAAAAAATCTGCTAATGCACAAAGTCTGTTAGAAAAGAGTAAGGCATTGTTTGAATTCAGTCCAGCACCAAGGAGATTTGTGCTACAACAGCCGGTCTGGGCCAATGTGCATGGAGACCTAAAAGGATTGTTAAGTAGTCAAAAGTCACACAGAAAGTTGCAACATGGATGGAAAAGGAAGTGATGACCAACATGGTGAAGTTGGAAGGATAAATCCAGCCGTGGCGAATGTTTATCTCTCAGCTTAGTGCCTTTTCCTACTGAAACTGTGACTAAAGGGATTTAGTAAATTAGATTTAGTCCTTCATTTGACTTGGTTTTAGATGTTAGTGTCATTGTTTACAGCTGTGTGTTCGGCCAATGAAAGTGTGTATTATATTGTAACACGCTCTGGAGGAACTGAAGGTACAACGAGACTTTCTCAGACAGGATGTAACCACGGAGGACCTCCATCTGATGCCGAGAACATTTGGACTTTCACATCGTCCTGGTGCGTTTACAATGGGGCCACAATGTTAACCAACTTCCTCTCATGTTAATATCAATGATTGGCATTTATTAACACCTGTTCTCCTCCGTTTGCATCCAAGATTCGACTGAAAATCAATAAGATGTGTATCTTTTTCAAGAACCTGTGGATTCACATTGGTTTTATGAGGGATGTACCAATGAACAATCCCTCTTAGAGGAGTGAGAGGCCGCATACCGGCACTTTCAACATTCACTTTTCCCCGATTTATTCTTGTGCGGCTTTTAGCGACAGAGGGGGAAGAAGAGCGGGAGGCTGCTGTGCGGCTCGTCCGTTCAAGCAGCAGCATCGTTTTTCCCCAGCGGCTCGTCGTTCCAGGCTGACTGACGCTCAGGAGACATGATGTCTCTATCGCCACCTGCAGGCGGCTCGGGCGCACTGCAGCCGGGCCGAGCCGGGCCGGACCGGGAGGGTCCGCGCCTGAAAGGACGGCGGCGGCTGTGACTTGCTGATGACGGGATCGGTGACGCCTCATCGACTGTCGGAGACAGGCGGTGTGCTTTTAGAAGTCAGGCTCCTGACAGAGGAGCCACTGGCCACAGCGGTGAAAATCAAAAAGAACAAAAAAAAAAAACAGCGCAGTGCAGTAGAAACCTTTTCGCTTTTTAAATATTTGGGTTACCTGCACCCAAATTAAGGTGGCTGGATTTCGTGTTGTGACATTTGCCCCTGGGGAGGATATTCCCACAGTTCTCCCGCAAAAGCTCCTCTGAAAACCGACCCCAGTGTGACCCTTGATCACAAGGTCGACTCCAGCGAAGTGTCCAGCAGGTCGTCATGGTGACCGTTGCTGTTGGAGTCGCTGTCGTAGCTCTGCGGACTCGATGACGTCGCCGCCTCCTTCAGGCGCATCAGCATGTTCATCTGTCGCCAGAATCAATGTGAGAATGTAGTTTTTAATTTCTCAGACACACAAGAATGTTGTTTTCTTAATTTTTGTCATTTTTATTCTTGCCTAATTAAAATGAAGGCGTTTTTTCATTGCAACTTATAAAAAAAACTTTAAATAATGTTATTCTTTTTCTCAATAAAAAGAAACTAAGAGGCCTGTTTGTGGACCTCGAGTTCAGAGCATACTACCGTTTCCACGATCAAGTATCATCATTTCTCATGAACTGCTAAGAAAATGTACAAAAACAGGCGGTTTGTTGACATTTTTTAATTCTGCAAACGATTACATCTGTCTGTGCACGACTTCCCCTTGGGAAAGTTAAATCTGCAATGGGGCGTATTCCTGCTCACCAGTGGGTCAGCGTCGCCGTCGCTCTGTGGGGGCTCTTTCCTGACTCCTTCCCTCGGGGCCGAGTAGCCATCGAACCCCACGTCCTCTGGGCGCAGCTGCAGCAGCGGCGGCCAATCAGCCGGAGTGGACGTGGCCGACCACGGGTAGGTGTCAATCACCCAGGCGGCGGGATCCTCCCACGCGGCCCTGCGGCCGTAGAGCTACAGAGAAACGCAGAATGTAATTCAGTTTGGCTGCCTAAAGCCATCAAAGTGTCTCTTCCGAGCCGAAGAGAAGCAAACCTCTCCACTGAACCGAGCCCCCCTGCACGCTGCATTCTGCTAATCAGCTACTAACCACATGCAGATTGAATCCAATTCACTTTGACGAATACAACCCTGGTCTTCTACGAGGGCGGATCTCAACAGTTGTATCGTTCTGACTCGTTACCCGTCTACATCAGCTGGGTGCTTTACATGTCACCTCAGGATGTCCAACCATGTCTCTACCTGTTTACTTCTTACAGGTAAAGACATCATAAATACTGCGGCACTGAAGTGAAACATGTAATCCTTTGGCCAGAGCGTAATCGGTCCATCATTTTCCAATCCTTGACACGATGTCTCTGCATTGAAATGATGCGCATGCGTTACCTGCAGTCCCTCCCGCACGGCCTCCAGCATGTAGGGGATGATGGAGTAGTTCCAGAGGTCAGTGAACCAAACCCTGGATCCCTCCACGTCCATGGGACAGGACAAGAAGAGGCGAGGTCCTGCACGCCACAGAGCGGGGACGTAAGACACCGATCGTTTCCCACACATTCATGCGCGTTCATTGAAGGACAAAAGTCTGTACCGATGGTGACGTCCGAGGAGCTGTGCGTCTCCAGGAAGCGGTTGAGGTGGTGCCAAACCCGCGGGATCCAGTCGATGATCCTCACCAGCTCCACGTTGCGCGTCCGGCTGCCGATCTCCGTCTCGATCAGCTTCCTCCTCAGGTAGCGGCCCAGGAAGCCTTTCACCGGCTCCACGTGGTTGGCGCACAGCACCCACCTGGTCAGAAGGAGGACACGTATGTCGGGACTGTGCATCAGACACGTGAAAGCCAAGTCGACCCTTCAGCGCGTCAGACACAGCGCGTGCCGGATGCCAGCAGCCGTTTACCGGAAGTTGTGGTGAAGCTGCAGGTTGGGGGCCGATGACGTGGCTTGGCTCATGGTGCCGATGATGTAAGGGCTGAGATGACAGAAACACGCCGATTATAAACATCTGAATGTAATCCAAATATGTACGCATGACAGATGAGCGTGTTTGTGTGTGCATGAGAACTGACCAGTTCTGGTAGTTGCAGTTGAAGACGCCGTTGAAGATCTCTCCCAGGGAGCTGACGTGGTGCAGGTTGTCCAGAATGACCACCAGAGGGCCGTCCGTCCCCGGGACGCCGCTGCACTGCTCGGCCAAGCCCGACAGGTACTGACGCAACTCCTCCACGGAGAGAAACAGAGAGTCAATGGTTATTAGTATTTGTTTTTTATCTTCTTATCCTCTTGGGTTTATACACATCTAAATAAGACGGAATGTTTGAATTAGCCTCTTTGCTATGATGATCTTAATACTCATATGTTAATTTAACCGCTTTGTGCTGCACCAATGCCAAAAGCACATTTGTGTTCAGCATTCTAATGTTCTATAAACATGATTTCTATCATTTCCAAGTGCATTCCAAGTCACCATGGCTTTTTCTTCGTTGAAAAAACGTTTGGAAACTTTAAAATTGACAACCACACTTACATGCATAATGAAGAATAAATATTGTGCGTTTACCTTGCTGGACTTGTGGTCCACGTTAAAGGTGACGACAGCTTGCGGGGTCAAAGGTCGGCCCTCCAGCAGCAGCAGGTGTCGAGACAGCTGATTGGCCAGGAAGGTCTTGCCCGTGCCGCTGGGGCCCGACAGGATGACGCGGCGGTGCTCCCTCAGCAGGGAGACGTAGCGCTGCAGCATCGGCTTCGGGATCAGAGTGTCGAACACCAGCGAGTCCACGTTCATGCCGCTCACACCTGGACACGCCGGGACGCCGCGGTTTGTCAGACAGGTGCGACGGGGGTAATCGTTTGAAGAGCGGACCGGGCGAGGCGGCGGTACCTTTGAGCCGGATGTTGATGGTGTCGCTGTCTCCCACCAGGTAGCCGCAGGGCAGCAGCTCGGGCGTGTGGGCGGCCTTGGGGACGCTGGGCCGGTGGATGTCTCCGATGTTGTATCCCGCCACGCTGTCGGAGGTCAGGCCCAGCTGGCTCAGCGGGTCCACGTGGGTGATGTACTCCTGTCGGACACAGAGCCTCGGCATTTGAGGGACGCTTTTGTGAAGTTTTGACAGGGCGCACCGGCTGGAAGACCTTTTCTGATTGTGAATCACTTAAACGCTCAAATAACCGCGTCGCCTGAAATCCGTAGCGGGAGAACACCGTGTCGTGTTTACCTTGAAAAGGCGCCGGACGACTCCGTCCAGGACGTCCCACTTGGTTTTACCGCTCACGCCGATGCAACCGATGAGAAAATGGCGCGGCCGGCCCTCCTGCGACGGAAAGACGCGACTGGCTTCAGAAACCACGAAGCCTTCGCGTACGTTAAAAAAAACGTAATGAATCCGTCCGCTCTCACCTCTCCCCACTTGCCGTCCTCGTCCAGGCTGACCACCATCTTCACGTGTCGCCCCTCCTTCCTCATCCCTGCGTCTCCGCAGGTGTCGTCCAGCAGCATGTCTGGGAGGGAGGCGGAGCAAAGTCAGACAAGGCGTCTACGATTCAATCACTCAAGTCAAGGACATAAAGTCACGGCGGAGAGTCAACAGCAACTACGTTTATTTCCTGACTGTTGTCTGTGACGTCCGGTTGGAGCCTCCTCGTCATCGCGCATGAATATAAATGTCTCACCCAGGCTGGTGGACTCGCTGGTGGTGAGGTTGAGGCTGTGCTGGGAGAGACCCGGCCCGCTCGCCTGAGCCTGGCCGTGTGCGTGATGGGGGGGAGGGGAGGAGACGGAGGCCTGCGAGCCGATCCTGCTGCCCTGATTCTCCACCTTCAGACGGTCGTTCTCCGTCTTCAGCTTCTCGATCTCCACCTGCGGATACGCGCGCAGAGGTGATGGGGTGGGTTCACAAAAAGCAGCTAATGGTTTATTATTTCCAAACTTAAGGTGTAGTTTCGACTAATGTGTTTAGATCAGACCAAGTTAATGAATGCTGTGAATGCAGTCAATAAAATACTTTTATATTATACTTTTTTTGCTGATAAAAATGGTTTGCAAAATAGAAAAACAGTGCTTCAATTTACTAAATTCAACTAATAGTTATGTATTTTATATTTACTATTCCTACTACCACATTAATTGTGTGTTGCAGGTGTATAAGGTGACGTAAAATGTTTAGGTTGAAGTTTAGGCTTGATCCTTGAACATCTTGAAGTCAACTAACTGAATTCATTGTTTTGTGCAACATTACAGAAAGAATTGGACTCTGAATAAGAATAAGTGAATCACAATTAAAAGACTGCTGCTGCTGCTGTGATCGCACTGATTGTGACCAGAGAGGACTTCAGATTTACAGAATTACCATATTCATATTCATATTTGTGTGCGTGCTCCTGCGTACCTGCATGCGGTTCATGGCCTCCCGGAGCTGGTCCAGCTGATGAGCGGAGCTGAGAGCCTCCAGCCGAATGTCCGTCAGCTTCATCTCCTTCTCCCTGAGCTCACTGCGCAGCTGCATCACCGTCTCCGCCTCGCTGTCCAGACACTCGGACAACCTGCACACACCCCACCCCGACGACACGCACCGTTTTAGTCACATGACCCGGAACCGGGACCCCTTGCCCATTACTCGCGTTACCCCAAACGTTACGGGGACGGCCGCGTACAGCGAGTTGGAGTGCGTGTTCCGGAGCACGTGGCTGTTGCCCGCGGTGCCGTTGTGGGGGAGTTTGGGGGACGACGGCAGCGACGAGTCCGTCATCTCCTCGATGTCGGAGTGGGAAGAGGCCGACTTGGGAGATTTCTTCTTGCTGAACGCTTGTTTGAAGGAGCTGCGCAGCTGCAGGTGAAAAAGAAGAGAAGGAGGGCGAGAGGCGGTTAGCGGGCGACAAACACCTTACTGGGACGGAGGGGAGGAAAGTGCCGGAGAAAGTGGGAGAAAGCAGCTGTGAGAAAGTGGGAGGGAGTCAAAGGGAGTAAAGGAATTATGGGTAGACGTGAATAGTTGCTTATAGCTCATTGTTTTTGTTTTTTTTAACAAATCTGTGTTGTCTCGTTGTTTTTTTTAAATTTTCATTAAATGTAATGTTAAATTACACGTTAATGTTAAACTGTATGAAAAATGGATATTAGCATAATTAGCGATATAGTTTTTCTATTCTAAAATATCAATGATTGCTGCTTTAAAAAGAATTCAGCAATTTCTAGAGAGGATCTGTAGAAAAAACAGAAACGATGAGCCATATTCAAACCACATGAACCAAGTCAACATCTGTTTGTTCCTCACAGTTTGTGTTTAAAGGAGAAATCCACCCATGAATACTCTACACTCTTAGTTCTAGTTAGTTCTAGGATTTTTCAAGAATCCTTCGAGAAATGTTTTTGATTTTGAAGATCAAACAAGAATAAAGTTCCAGGATCATCTTTCCTTTGTATTTCTTTCATCTGTGGAACATGTGGGCGAAAAAGGTTCAGCCAGTTTTGTAAGCTGAATTTCAAATGAAAGAAAACTATTTTCAGATTTAGAACACCTCAGCCTCTTTTAGCCACCAAAAGTTATATTATATCCTTTTCCCACCTGTTTTCAGCTCACAAACACAGAGAAAACATCTCAGTATCGTGTCGTGTCAGAAAATGGACCGCCTAATCTCTGACTCACTGATACGGTATTTTCTGGTGGATTTTTCCTTTCAACAGCTAACACGGGTGTCATTCATCATTTCCAGGGATTAGCAGTGTTGGAGAGGAGAGGACAGGCACTACGGTGGCAGCAGAGGACAGGAGGAAAAGGACAAAAGGTTAGTAACCCATAAAAAGGACGGTGTGTTTCTCTCACTGCACACAGCGCACCATCCTTACCTCATAGACCTGCCACATGAAGCGAAGCAAAGGAAGACAGAGAGACAAAACAGCACATGTTCATATGGGTCTGAGGTGCGTCAATGTGTTCAGCCAGGGACGGAGATTAAACTAAAGGCCCATACAGGAAGAACGCCACATCACAACCACCATGAAGCCTTTCATGATCCATTACACACAAACTGCCCCTATACGCTCCGCATCACATGCAACGTACGAGCACCTGCATGGAGGAGTCGTCTACACACACCCTGACAGCTGGAAGCACATCTGCACACACATCCACACACAGCGGTTGTTTATTATCACTGTGACCTAAAGCGGGAAGCTCCGCACGAGTCTTTTCCTACCACGAAGCACGACACCGCTCTTCCTAAACTCCAACACCGGGATCAGGTGCTGACAAACAACGACAACACGTCGGAGGGGGACAGAAAGCTGCGTACGTCATCGTCTTTCATTTGTCCTCCGGTGCACAGAAAAGTCTTTCAACGACAAAAAGGACAAATTTGTAAGTATGTAACATTTTTATTGTGGTAAAGTCACTAATAGTCACTATTGAGCTGACGATACGACCGGATTACTTGCAGTTTAAAGAGACAACTACTGCAACTAAATTCAGCCCAGACTCACGACAGCTAAGACAATCTGAAGTGTATTCACCTTTTCCCCGGTGAAAGCGGCCTGAAGGGGAGAAACCCAAGCGGGTGACACCGACACGCACACACACACACACACACACACACACACATGAAAATGCACATGAAGGAGACAAAGACCAAAGCAACACCAAAGAGTCCCGATCGGCTGCTTGTTAGTAACTCATCTTCACGCACCAGCCTCTTTGCTTTTCATCCGCGGCCTCTTACCCAGTTCTTCTTGTTCTTCTTCTTGTTTTTCGCGTCGGCGTCCATGTTGGAGCCCACACTGGAGTGGCTGGTGGCGCTGGCGACGCTGCTGACGCTGTCGGAGGAGTGCTGCCTCCTGATGCGCAGGTCGGGCTGCTGGTTCTGCTGCTGTGGACTGCCGTTGCCGCCCGCTGTGGATGGGTTATAAATATGTAATAAACATCTAAATAAATGTCGGCGACGCGTTGTTCCCGGGCCGCGTGTGCTGCTGGTCCGTACCGGTCCTGTCCCCTTTGTGCGTGAGCTCAGGCGTGTTGATCACCCCGTTGATGGCGGCCTGAGCCACAGCGTTCTGCCTCTTCAGCAGCTCGATGGTCTTCCTCAACTCGTTCAGCTCAGAGTCCTGCACGGAGGAGACGACGGGCGCGTCAGACAGCTGCCGAATGTGCACTTTGCTCGCCGTCTGCTCTGACAACGAGACGAGCGCTTCTCACCTTCTGCTCCGCCGTCAAGGTGAGGCTCTTCAGCCGGATGGTCATGTTGCCCAGACTCTGTTCGAACGCCGCCACCAGGTGAGCCTGCGGGAGAAGAACACAGGTGGGGGTAAAAAAAAAGAGGAGATTTTCACTTTATTTTCCTTATTCCTGGCTGATAAATGTAAAGATAGTGTATAATTGTACTTGATTATCTAACAAAGTGTGAACGCCGTGGGCAGATGGGATTAAGTAAAACAAGCAGGTTTCAAATACATGTGGAAAGAAAATGAAGGATTAAATGAGTAAATTCACAAATGACCCCAAAAATAAGCATTTGAGCGGGAAGGTGAGCAGGTTCAGCCTTCACTACATCGTTTTTGAGGCTTTCAGACAAATACAAACGAGGCCTGCGGGACGTGTGTGCGAGTTGGGGGGCGGTGCAGACTTCTCGGCCTCGGGGGTAAAGAGGCGTGTTCAGATAATTCATCCTCTGTCTGAGGCGTGTAATCAAATATATGAACGGACAAAGCCCCCCCCCCCCCCCACTTCCACATCTCTAATCCACAGCCAAAGCTGCAGCGTGCGCTGGCTCGGGCAGCAGATTGCGAGCGGAGCGTGGCGAGACATGTGTGAAAGAATTGTGCCCGGAGACGCTCAAAGAGATCTTCAGATGGTTCCGCCAGATGTGAAATTACACCTTCTGGGAGCAAAGTGCTCGGTTGGAGCGTCGTGTGCCGCGTTTGATGAGGATCGGGAAAATGTTCTGCCGTGCGATCCTGAATTGTTTTGGGGCCACATTTCGGAGAGCGTGAAATGATCCGTACACGCTATTTTTGTGTCAACTTTGGACTGTTGACTTTGGTTTGAAATGGTATATCTGCAAAACTAATCTTATTCTTAACAGCCTCAGTTGCAATGTGTGTTAGGGAACGTAGAGCAAACGTTGTTCTTTATACGTGATGAACTGAGAAGGTGATCGTTGTAAACACAACCTGCTGAACATCACCATGGTCATAAATGTTTCTTATATTATATATTAATATTATATATTAATTTAAGTAATGGTACTTATTTACTTTAATTATCTGGCAAGATGCTGAGGAACCATTTATTAGATTTTAAAAAAATCAGAACTCTACTCTGTTTATCTTTTCAGTTCTACAGATTTCTACAGATTTTCAGATCCAATATTATTTTGGTTTCCATCACAAATTGAGGAGAAAATGTCTTTTGGTGTCCCATAACGTACTGTAGTTTTAAATGATCTGTATTTATGAAATACCCTTGTCCAAAACAAACAGACCATCCAACTGACTAAATGATATTATTGTTTACTATGTAATAAATACCTCAATAATACATTTGTTTTAAATCCTGCTAAATCAGATTCTGTGACAAAAGGTGCACAGCTATTGTTGAAAATATAAATGTTAGAATGTGGCACAATAGACCCTGGAAGGAGACAATAGACATATACGTTTGCTTTGGAGTGTGCGTGCGTATGTGTTGTGTGTGCGTGTTGTGTTTGCTTACATTGGCACTCAGCTGTGTCGTCAGGGCGGAAACTTTTTCCTGGGAGGCGTCCAGCTCCCGACGCAGCTTGCGGATCTGAGGACGTGAAAGGAGCACGACATCAAAAACGCACCGTGCCGATGAAACGCACACGCAGGAAACACGCAGAGAGACGCGGCGAAGTAAACGAGGGAGGCTCCCAGATGGCCGCTGTGATTTGAGGAGATGAAACGCGGTGGACGCATAAAGGAGCGCACACAGGTGTGCACAGGTGTTCGGAGCGGGACAAGGGCTTGTTACAGGGTCGCTCACAATACAGTTACACGCGTAACACGACACGGCTGTGAAAACACGGCCGCCCCCCCATCACCCGTGTCCCGACAAGCCCGAGCCGCTTGCACATAGAAAATTAAAGAGCAGAGAAAGCCGCGGGATAGAAGTGCCGTGGGCGGGCTTGACACTTACCTCCGACTGCGACTTCTCCTCGTTCTGCAAAAACAAACATCACAGGAAGAGAAAATCATTAGAGGAAGTTGAGACTGATGGAATCCTGAAAGCGCTTTCATGACGCGGAGGCGGAGCAGCTGAAGCTGCCGCGGGTGGGCCGGCGCAGTGTGCGATTCATCAGCTCCACGGAGACGAGGTGTGTAAGCTGTGGAGGAGATCGTCTGGTGTAATGTGTCCGGAAAGCAGAGATATCGTCCTGAAGGCATTGCACTCATCGGTGCAGCGTGTGTGTGTGTGTGTGTGTGTGTGTGTGAGAATCGCATTGTCTCCATCACAATAGCAGGTAAAGACAAGTAGCCAAATGCACACAGAGCGAGGGCGTCTCTGACACACCCTGCCGCTGATGTTCACCGAAACAGCCAAACATGCAACACCCGCATTTATTTATATGTAAACAAGCTGCACCGAAACTGCACCGAGAAGGTTTTTCTCCCAACTGGACCGGAACCACTTTCACAGATCCTTCACCGACTCAAAGACGGGTCCAACTGGAGCTGAAGTTCAATGTCAGGTTAACACCTTTAATTTGCACAAAGATGTTCTGGTGGTCGTGTAAAGCACAACATAACCTCTTTTTGTCATCGGAGCAATTGGAGGATATTATTACATTACAAATCAGTATTAAATGTAGAGCATTAATATCACAGTTGAAAACTATTTGCTGTGTGTAAAGATGTAGTGAGGTTACGTCTCTGTGGCATTTGTTTGCACTGTTAGCGCTCTTAGCAGCGTTAGCTCGCCACGTCGAGAGCCAGAAGCAATAGAAACGCTACGACTTTACAGATTGATTTAAACTGTCTTACAATCTCCTGAAAGGTTTTACTATTGGTCCGATTGTTTTGGCTTAATAGCAGAATATCCGAAAGCAGGATTTTTTTAACGACATTTTCAATTCAATTCTGCAATAGTTTTGTCAAAAACACATCAGATTCATTTATTTGATATTTAACACAAGGAAGTGAAAACATTTAGTAGTTTTCTGACATTAGAATAACTCGTTTAGAGGATTATGGCGTCCTGGTGTGGGTTTGTCCTCTCTTCATGCTTTTCTGTTTTTTTCCTTTAACCATCAATCTTGCGGCTTGCGGGAGGTCTAAATACGGCACTTGTGTTATGACAGACGCAACAAAGCAGCACAACAAATAATTAATGATATTTCCATGTGGTTACACCTCTCAACCCCTTAAACAGGTTTCAACAGCCTCCTGCGTCTGTACAGGTATTGCACAGCACATGTGCTCCTTGGCACGAGTGTTGGTTTGTGCATTCATCCGCACACGCTCTACACACACCCAAACACGCATGGCCAGTTGATCCTAGATACACAACACGCCGGCGTGTCTCCTAAACGCAGTTAAAGGAATATGAAGCAAACTAAATGCATCATTCCTTCTTTCAAATTCTATTTATATATATTATACATAAATACAATATATAGGTGTATATGTAATGTAATCAACGTAATGTCAGCTTTAAGTCAGCTTAAAAAAAATGTGATTTCTGTGCAATCTCTCTAATTATATGTCTGACTAACAGCTGTGTTTAAGTCCAATAGACCAACAACAGAAGGACCCCTCCTCTTTAAACCCCCTCCCCTCCCCCTCCTCCTCTTCCTCCTCCTCCTCTTCCTCCCTACCGTTTGTTGCCAGGATGTGACTGTGCCCGTCAGCGATAACGTCGCCATCATCTTTGCCTCCACTCTCTTCCCTCCCTGAGTTCAAACGCGTGACTCCCGGGCTCAAAGGACCAGCCAGTGGCGAGCAGAGATCCGATGTCTGAGAGTTTCTCTGCGACACCTGCCCAGGTGAGTAGGCTCGGCCCACAGAAGGGAGGAGGAGCTATGCTATGAAAAACCACGCTCTGATTGGCTTCTGTTTGCACAGCCAACAGCTCTATAGCCAGACCTTTTTTCCTCGCAGGGTGTTTGAGTCAGAATAATCCGGATGGATTAGAGGGTGAATGTGTAACGGCGTATTTGCCAACTCAAATGCGTAGTATTTCATAATCCCCTGTGCAAAAAGCAGAAACAGGCTGCTCTGGTTCACATGAATTGTGGATACATCCGCTGATAGATTTGCAAATAGTTTTGAAAACAAGAAATAATTATCGATTAATTAATAAGGCTGATATTTTTAAGTACCTTATATATCCTGCACTTTTGAAGATTTTCAAAATATTGATATCCGAGAGTCCAAATATCTACATTGTTTTTAAAACATGTTTTAATGTGAAAATTAGGTTTCACTGCAAAATAAACTTGACATTTCTCTCTAGTGGGCAACAAATGTAACGGCGAAGCGAAACATCCTTAATGTAATGTCAAAAAAAAGAACAGCCCATACTATAGTTACACTAATCTCCAGGATTCACATCAACGTTTCATGTTCTTTCAACTCACCGTGGAGTAAATGGAAGAAGTGCTGGAGACCAGAGAAAGGGAAGAGCCATGAACTGTAGACACAAAAACCACAGAGCAACAGCGGCGATTAGAAAGTACATAAGTACACACAACGGCCCCTGTAATTATCAACAGACCCCCCACACAAACCACCCGCCTCCTCCTGAGCACGACCGCTGCGGCTCTGCAGTCGTGGAGCTAAAACTCCTACACGTCACGATCGGACTGTGGCGCAACTGATGGCAGCCGCTGATGACTCAGCCGCTAATCACACATCAGAGGCCCGGGACACAACGGCAGCAGTGTTTCAGAATGGGATCAGCAGCGTGATGTCATCGACCGCACCGGGAAGTTGGGATTGATCCCAGCAGATTGATGCATTCATTCATTCATTCGTTACCCTCACAGAGGGAACCGTTTACTGGGCACCCGCTTTCATCTTATTTGGGCCTAGACAGCAATGAGTGTGCGGATCCGCATGGAAAGGAGAATTAAAAAAGGTTTAAAATCTCAGCGATCGGCGTGTGACGTGGATATTGAGACGTATTTCACACGAGCGTCTCGTAATCGGAGGATGGGAACAGAAAGGCGGCGGCTAATAACCTGTTAATTCCTGTGAAGCATTCATCTTGTCCAAATACCTTTGAGCATCTATTGCTAAGAGACACACATCTAAACTGTCTTATTTGGTTTGCACAGATATAAAGAAGGTGGTCACATGTGAAGGTGAGTCGGGGTGGAGGGGATGGAGTGACACAGCTGCTCCCACCCAGGACGGGTCTGACAAAGAGTTCGGCGGATCATGTGACTTTCGTCCTGTCAATCGAACAGACGGTCCGGTAACAACGTACACGCATGCGCATGAACCGCGTGTCCTCGGCAGACCCGCACATTGTGATCCAACGCACAAACAAAGAGAGGGAAAGTAATGTTGGAACTTGTGTACATGTCATCACATCTCTCTCACGCCTCTCACGGTGATCCCTGTAATTATCTTCTGAAAGGGAAGGACAGACTCATGGAGCTGGGAAAAAAAGTGAGAAATGCTGGGGGGCGTGGTAGGGAGGGAGGGGGGGGGGGGTGCAATACAAATAAGTAATAATGCATGTGCATAATAGCATCACAATACAATAAGTGCAGGTAACTTCAATAATTCAGGTGAATTAAATGGATCCTTTATCCAGTTTTTGGACTCGTCTATGCTTATGAGTAAATGTAGTTGAATTGTCTCTGTATCTCACACCAGGATGATGATCCTGAGGTTCTGCTTTGTTGAATTTGGAGGCGAGAAACCAGACGATTGTCTCCCCGGTGTTATTTTTTTTTAAATGATGAAGGTGTTTTCTTGATAATTAATAACCTTTTTATTTTACTCTGTCCTGCACTCAAACATCTGTCTCATACTCTGTAGCCTACACACAGATGAAAACATTGTGGTGCTTTTGTATAGAATCCTGTACAGGCTCAACTCTGAGAGGGCGTTCTGGTAAAGAAAAGGATTAGGATCGTTTTGTTTGAAAGAACTTGCACACAGCTGATTCCCCCCGGAGGCACATTTACAAGAACCAGTAACAGCGTCACTGGATTTCCTCTCCAACTCGGTTTGTCTCTCATGTCGTTTCTTCCTCCGTATTGATTTGTCTCCTCCTCCCTACAATCTGTGTTTGGATCCATCCCCACAGCGTCTACGTCGGTCATCTGCGACGTCGGGGTTTACCTCCGTTTCCCAGTGTAAACTTTTGATTACACTTTAATTGCAAATAACGTCTTGTAGCTGCATTAATTAGTGCCTTTTTGTATGCATAGTAGTTTCGTGAAATGCAGGTTTACCACCAATTGAGGCTGTGTAACATTCTCAACATGTATTAGGGTGGATTTATCTCGTTAAGGAAACCACTTTGAACACAATCCCACAGCCGCCTCCCACCCAGCCCTCGTTTGTTCCTCGGAATTAGAGTTCTGCGCTTCTATAGCCCCAAAGGATTGAGCGGACTCCGGTGGAGCCACCTCGCCTTAGCGGGGAGTCTGCCTGCTCGTGGGAAAAGCACGGCGGGGCACTTTTCCCAATAAACAAGCTTATGAAAAAAACAAAGCTGCACCAAAGCTGATTATGGATTTCTAAAGGGACGGAGGGCTTTTATTAGAGGAGCGGTTGTAATCCCTCCTAATGTTCTCTAAACAAATGGAATAATACGTTTTATGCAACGGGGAAGGAGGGGTGGGGGGGGCTCCAGACTGCAGGATTACATTTTAGCTAGAGATCGCACCAACATCACACAGTCACCAGTAATTCAATCCGCTTGTCTCGCATCCGTCCGCCTCCCTCACGTGTCCTCTCACCTTCCTCGAAGCCGTCCCTGAAGGAGCCCGACCGGCTCATGGTGCGAGTCTTCTCGTCCAGCGACATGCAGGAGTTTCTCAGCCGGTTGTCGCTGCAAGGGTCAAAGGGGACTTCCTGATTGGTCAGGCTGTTATTGCGCAGGCCGGTGAGGTTGATCTGAGCCGCCGAGGTGGGGCTGGATGCTGTGGGAAAGGCGCATGAAATAACATAAGGCGATGGAGGAAGTGTTTTCTTTTTAAACATTTTGTCTATGAAATGTCGGAGGAACAGTTTTACTTTTACTTTTTTAATATTTGAGTTTGTATTTGTGATATTTGTCCACCAAGCGAGAACACGCGCAAAGTGGGAGTAAAGTATAGACACAAGGAGGGCTGTTTTCGGCGTACCGAGCTGTGCGAAGTTGAAGCGGGTGCCAGAGGGGGAGGTGATGCTGGAGCTGGGGGAGAACGGGGAGTTACTGGCCGATTCCTGCAGCCCGCTGGTGGAGTGGGAGCGCAGCCAATCACGGGCCTCCTCGTGGCTCCGCATCTGTGGGGACGGGCCGTACCTACAGGGAGTCAAAGATAAGATTAAAGTCGAATCGACAACAAAAGAAGTGGGGATTTTGTTCCCGGATAAGATGATCTGTATTCCGATCTTTTAAAAAACAAAAAAAGTATCAAGCAGGCAGATTAGTTGCCGGGATCAAACAGGATGGATCAGATGCCCGAAACAAGGAATCACAACACCATGAACCTAAGACTGATTCTCAGCGGTGAGCCACAGAAACTAGAGGGTGAAAAAAACAAAAGCAGAAAAGAAGCCAAGGAACATTTGACCCCCTCAATCAGGCCCGCTACAGCACAACACAGGTATGGTTCTACACCACGACAGAGTGACAAGCCTCGTCACGGAAGCACGACACAACAACACAAGTGCCGACAAAAACATCCAAAGCGACTTTCTGTTCATAAGGGAGCACCAGCCTCAAAGAGTGAATGTAGACGCAGAAATAAAAAAGACAATTTGGTAAAAACCAGTGTGTGAAAGCGCGACACTTCCGAGCGGGAGGTGGAGTCAGTACCTGAATCCTTTCTTAGGCAGAGTGTTTCTACCACAGTGTGGCCCGCTGTGGGAGAGAAGCACTTTAGAGGAGGAGAGCAAAGGAGGCAGGGAAACATCTGTCTGCATCTCTAAAGGACTACCAAATGCATCCAAACTCAATCTTTAATGCAGGCCTAAAAATACTTTGACAAGGAGTTGACATGATTTTCTTTAAAGTTGAATTTGCCCGATCGTACTTTAGATTCTCAGGGTTCAGGAATGCTGAGACCTCAAGATTGAGGCTCTTGCAGCGTGAAATAGATCAAAACGTCTCGTGCCGATGCTGTCGGGTAAACGTGCACAGACAAACTCCACCACTAGGCGGCAGCAAGTGAACACGGCACCACTCAACAGAACCAGTGAAGGTGCCAACATCCACACAGAAAACCTCACATTTACACTCCCGCACTTCCTTTCACACCGGACAGAGAGCTCCTCAAAACAACCACGAGCTGCCACACAGAGCGCTAATCTCGGCGCTGAAAAGAGCCCCTCTGTGCGGCGGCGGGCGGCGGTTTGGCAGCAACCTCGGGCCGCTCTTTCACCAGAGGCCCAACACACAGCGCGCACACAGGCACGTTTACCTGTCCTGCCTCCGAGGCAGCGTGTTTCGGCTGAATAAAGGGCTAGCGGACGGAGAGGAGAGCGGACTGAAGGAAGACAGGAGGGGAAAACGCACAACAGACACAGAGAAAGAAGGTTTTAGAGAGTAAGCCGAGTCCTTTTCGGGAACAGAGATCAACTGCAAAAAGCTTCTGCAGGCGATGACGTTAATACGAAGCCTCAGCGAGGAGGGTGATGTCATGGCCTCAAAGCTTCCACTAAGGCCATTAGGTTTCCTCTGTGACATTGCTGTCACATTGCACAGTCAACCTGTCAGGAGGGAATCCGCCACAATGACCACAGTGACTGTCTGATCGGCTGAGGACGCCACGGGAATTTGTTTCTGTGCTCGAGCGCGGACAGAGCGGCAAACGCGAGGCGACACCTCGCCCGGGACGGACGCTCTCTGCATCGCCTCCGTTCTGGATACACTAAAAGTACAATTCATGTCAGAGCTGTGGAAGAAGTATTTAGGTTCCTAAGTGGAAAATAACGTGGGCTTCTTTGATTAACAAAAAATGTTTAGTTTAAAAAGGTTAAATCTGTAAAGAGCAATGACCCAAAGCAGTGTATCGTATATCATTATACATTATTATTAAGAAGCATTTTAACAGTCCTAAAGGGGTTGAGTTGGATCTTCTTAATCTGTAACAAATCTCATTTAGTATACGTTCCATACGGGGGGCTAATGGCCAAACACTTTGTCTTTAAAGAACCGAGAAAAAGCCGCACTGATGAAGGCGAGCTGCCACACTGGAAAAACACATCACAGACTCCGACTCCGGTGGTTCTTTTTGGAAAAGGATAACAGAAATGGGACGCGCCCACTTTCATGTGCCCTCACCTCTCAGTCATGCCGGCCTTGGTGCTGCCGGCGCGTCCCAGCGCGGACAGGGTGTCCTCCTTGTGGGTGGCGTGGCAGCCGCTGCCCAGGCTCATGTCGATGGACTCGCTGCTGGTGTGCATGCTGCTGACGGAGGGGTATCCCATGCTGCTCGCCCCGCCGTGCCCGCCCAGCGTGCTCTCCCTGCTCTGGGCGGAGGAGCTGCTGAAGGTGGTGCCCCACGTCAGGCTGTTGGAGGGGCCGGTGGAGGAGTAGACCGAGCCGGGACTGGAGGCCTGCGGACGGGCCGGAGAGGATGTTATTGATTCGAAATCCTACAGATTGACTTGAAACGTTCTATTTTATTTGATGATCTGCTTTACGGTCTCGTACGGTCTCAACTTTTGAACCAAACTGTGCTTCTTAAAAACAATGAGTCACTTTGTGTTGGAGACAGACTTCTGACTCGGCCCTATGAATCAGGAGAAGGTCACGGTGCGTTCAAGACTGAGCACGCTCAGACCTTGCTGCTCTGTTGCAATATGTAGCCCGCAGTTAACCCAACACGTCACCAAACCTGCTTATCTGTGCCTACGAAGAACACACTGGTTATCACTAGGAATTCATTGGACTCAAATGCAACTCCAGGATGAACTCAAAGGAAAAGGAAAAACGCTCCCCCTCCTGTGATGGTGGGAAGTTAGTGCGTACAGCTAAAAAATAGCAGCATAAATAATGAAAAAGTAGCTGCTCCCGTGACTCTGTTCTAGGGACAAATAAGGATAATTCAGTCATTCTAAAGGAAAGTGTTTGAGTTAAAAAAACAACAACAACATTGTCTCTAATGAAGCTGTATCACCCAATTGTTAATTTACGCTTATATCTAACATGTGAATCCACAGCCAGCTTTCTTCCAGGAGATTGAGGATTTTGCTCTCATCCTTTTCCGCAGAAGGTTGATCCGTTGGTTGTTTTTCGTGTCCGTGCTCACCTGCTCGCTGCCCAGCGTTCCGATCCCCTGCACTCGGCCTCCAAACAGCGGGCTGCTGGTCTCGCTGTCCACGCCGCCCAGCCCCGCGTCGGGGGACTCCAGCAGCGTGCCCACGTGGTTCAAGGTGGCGTGCGGGTTGGAGATAACAGTGGAGTTCTTCATGTTTTCAGTGGTGGTGACCGGAGCCTGTTTACAGGGCTTCCCACCAAACAGTCTGTGGAGAATCGGGGAGAGGACCGGGACTAAGGATGCCATTTGATGAACAGTTTACATCATCAGACTGATGGTTGAAGTTCTACTGACTGAATATGTAAGTTCTGTCGACGTGAGAATCGCTTTTAACGGCGTTGTAAGTGTACACATAAAGAAAAAATACAAAGAAGAGGACAGAGAATATGATACTACATTGAGTCAAGTACAAGTACATTTTTCTTGGTGCCTTATTATTCTACATTGCTTTTAAATAGTTTTTAGGCGACGTTGCCTGAAGCTGACCTTTCTGTATATTGATGATACATTGGATGCTGCTGCAAGAAGAAGTGTTTGTCCTCCAGGGTTGATGAATATTAACAGGAAATTAAACACCAAATACATTCAAATTTAAATTTCTGTATCAAACAACCGAGGGAACGAGGCGGCGGAGTGTGCCACCCTGAAGGTCCCAAAAACAACGTTTTATTATTCTTAACTTTGCGGCACGGAGAGGTAATAAGTGCCCCGGGTATACACACAAACACACACACACACAGAACTCTGTGACTAATCCCTGGTTAGAAGTAAATGGCGGGCTGTGATGACAGGAGCCGCGGTGGGCGATAATGGCAGCACGAGGCCTCTTTGAAGACTTATCACTCCCTCACATTAATGAGGGCAGAGCGCTGAGGTAAGACTCAGCTCCCATTACCCAGCACCACACCCTCCCTTCTCCACCCGGCCCCCATGCATCGGCAGCGCCGAGGGTTGGCAGCTGAGAGCCTGCCTTTCACAATGGCCTAATTTAACCTCCCTGAGCCTGAGGATGTGTGTGTGTGTGTGTGTGTGTGGAACAAGCCCACACGGGGGGATTATTACTCACCACTGCTTACCCTTCAATGAAGCTATAAGATTACTAACTTTTCAAATGACCTCCTCTCTCTCCCGCTGAGACTTTGTGTCTATGTTTGTGCTTCATGTGGGTAAAGTCAAGCCCATACAGGAAGGCCCAACACAGTACGGCTCATCAGTTAGCCCTCATTACGTCTGCAGCATCCCTGACTATACTGATTACATTCTATTCTGTGTGTGTGTGGGTGTGTGTGGGTGGGCTCACCTGCGCAGGGTGGGCGAAGAAACCTGCTGTCTTCCCGTCAGGGGAACGGTCGCTGCTCCTCCGCCCTGCATCCCGACTCCGCTCCTGAGGTTGTCCACCTCGGAGACGCCCTTCTCCCGGTCCGTCTGATTGGCCAGCAGGCCTCCCGGGCCGTTGGCCTTGTTCAGGCCGACTGGGTTCTTCCCGTGGGCGGTGACGGAGAGCACGGCGGCCTCGATGCTGCTGGTGGAGGAGCGGTTTCCGTGGCGGGCGGCCGCCCCCGCGCGGCTCGGCCTCGGGAGGCTGCGGTACTGCAGCGTGGAGCGGGCGCTCATGGGGAGGAAACCGTCGTCGTGGTGGTGGTGGCCCAGCATGGACGCGCCGTCCTGCCCGCCGGCTTTCAGCCCCCCCGCGAGCGAGCGCGCCCCGGATTTGGGCATCTTCCCCAGGGTGGCGGAGCCGCTGGTGATGGTGGCGCCGCTGGCCGTGACCATGGTCACCATCCCGTGGCCCTGCTTCTTGAAGCCGAAGGTGCTGGTAGGGGTGCGCGAGGTGTGCGAGTGTGTCTGGGGGTGGGGCTCTGAGACGGCGTGCGTGAGGGCGTTCGTCGTCGATGTGCGGCTGGTGGGGGTCGTCTGTTTCTTCGCCTCGTCGCCGCTGCTGCGTCCTGCGTCCGAGGGCGAACGCTGAAGGCCGTTGGGACGTGGAGAAAGACAACCCTTTTCTGACACCTTGACGTCATCCGTCTTACCTGCAAGACGCACGGGGGAAAAACATCAGTGGGGCGGGGCTACAGTTTCCCCTCCCCCTCACGGATGAACAACTTTTATTGTTGCATCAGAAATGAGAGGGCAAGGAAAAAGTTGAAAACTTTGAAAAAAAAAGTTTTCCTCAGGTGGTGGAGGTCCGTGTTACCTGAACTGTGGGTCTTGAGGCCACTGGAGTTTGTGGAGCCCGCGCTGCTGGTGCTTTTAGTCCGGGGGGACGTCACCCCCACCTGAGTGCTCATGCCTCGCCTCCAGGAGCCCGTGTGGGACGCGGAGGGGGTCTTCCTCCCCGAGCCGCCCTTGTCGGACTCGTCGGAGATGTCGGAGGGGTTCCGGCGGCTATACTTGGAGCCCGACTCCATCCTGGCTCTGCCGTCCGAGCCGCCGTTGGGCCTCTTCACCTCGTCTCCTGACCAGGCCTGGTGCACCGCGGCGGAGGCGGAGCGCTTCTCTGCATCTGTCACAGGCTGGAGAACACACGGACCGCCTTCAGGTCAGGTTCATTACTGGTCATGAGGAGAGAGTGCTCCTCCTTATTTGAATTTGAAGTTCTTGCTTTTACTGCAGGCAGCTCATACATTTGAGAGAATGACTTAAACTTAAAGGTCAAATCTCAAGTCTGTCACAGCGCTTTACGTCCCGTCAAAAGTCTGCATAAAGAAAAAGGCAATTCCGTGCCGTCTTTATTTTTTTATCTTCATTATTTTTCTTTTGACTTTTCTTCTGAGTTTTCATTGTTCTGGCTCTGGTGAACTCGCTAACAGTTGTTTGAGGGTGACAGTTGCTGTTGCCAAGGCAACAATACAAAAATGCAACATGCTGCTCTGCTAAAAGAAATGAAAGGAGACTTAATCAACCTGCAGTGTGTCAGGCTGCTCTACTGAGAGAAAGGCTCCTTTGTGCCCTTTTGTTTTGTTTTCAGCACCTCTGGAGCCATTATGGACACCGGTCACATGGTTCCACAGGAACGTGTCTCTGCTCACAATATTATTATTATCAATATTATCGTCTCACCTATCACTTTCCTGGAGCGTTTGTGGCTCTTAATCGGTGTTTAATGGTTTGAGGCCAGAATCAACATCAGCTTCAGCTTTGTGAGTTCACAGCTGTAGTCTCACATTCTTCACTGAATGCAGAGGAATGCTGGGACGGACTCGGTTTAGGGAAATGAGGCCAAGTGGAAGGATACGGTTGCATCAGTTTACTACTACCACGTCTAGTTTAAATTCGTTCAAATTATTTCTCAACATTATGGGACAGTGGACGACTTAACATCCTTGGATTTTTCATTAAAAATCTATACATAAAATGTTAGATATCATGGCGGAATATTTGGCTGATTTTGACATTAAGGATGCAACGCAAGATTTCAAAACAAGGCTGCTACTAGAGAAACTCACCGGATCAAGTAAAAAGTAAAAAAAATGTACATTTATCCTCGCCACACTATACTCGATAGATTTACATTCACACATACATTAATAGATTCGATTGCCGTCCTTCTGCAGTTTTCTTGCTCAATTCGGAACCAACTATCCATTTTTGTCCCTTTAACTTAAATAACTTATGCTGCCTCAAAATATTACATAACATATTTGATACTGGACAGCATAAGTACTGGCGGTCACTAAATACGTCCCATATAAATGCCCTGATGCTTGTAAGGCCTCGTGATGCTGGAGGATACTTCCATTTGTTTTTTGCAGATTGTGATGTAGTGCAACGCTGGTACCAAATATTCCACAAATATTAAAGAGGATATCTTCATAAATTGTAAAATAAATGTTGTATTTTATATTTAAGAAGTTGAGAAAGACCACTCAGTTGCATCATGGGATCTTGACCTTAACGCTGATATTGCTTGTGAAATTTAGACTTGTTGTTTAGATTATATTCACATTACTCATCTTATAGTTCAAAGGAGACCAAACATATATGCATATAAGCCACATGGTGGAGGAGCTATTCCTGATTACTTTGGAGAACGTTATTTTAGGCCTTTTTTCCGAGGGAAGGGCCAGCGGGTCGAAACAGAACTGCCTACCCGATCCCCTAAGAAGATATTCTCCTTGAATATGGACCTATGTGTGGGTGTACCTGCGCGTTGAGACCCTTGCGCTGTGCTGCGGGTGTGTTGGCGTAGGAGGAGATGGAGGAGCTGGTGTTGATGTCATCTGTGTCGATGTTGTCGCTGATGCCGCTGCTCACAGAGCTGCTGTCATCCCAGCTGGACACAGAGAGAGAGAGAGAGAGAGAGGGGTTCATCTTAGTTCTCTTCAAACAATGGATCTTCAGGGTGCAGGCGGTGGGGGGGTCAACTTGGATATTTGGCAACATGTATCGCTCCTTTTTGAAGAGACGGATGTTCCGTTTCATATTGGCAAATAAGCATAGATGTATTCCCGTTTAGACTCATTGTAGGTGGGGGAGTGTGATGAGTTTACACTTGAAAAACAAATAGTCAGTGTACTTCATATGAAAAAATAACTAAAACGGAAATAAACGACAGATCCTCAGACTGCCTGCGGATTCTTTTCCTTTATTCTGCATCTGAATCGACTTCAGCTACAAACACACACACACACACACACACACACACACACACACAAACAGGCTGAATGGGGTTGTCCATCACATGAACAAAAGCTTGTTGGAGGGGTGACATCACAGTTGTGTGTGTGTTTGTCTGTGAGTTGTTCAAACAAACCCATCTGATCAGTGCAAATATGGGGGGAGTTAATGCAGGATATCTGTAAATGTGTGTGTGTGTCTGTGTGTCTGTGAATCTGCTGGGCGTCTGTGTGTGTGTGTGTGTGTGTGTGCGTGTGTGCGTGCATGTGTGCATCCGCTGGGTGTCTGTGGGGAACAGGAAGCATGGCCAGTTGGCAAACATCACCCTGAAAGGACCAGAGGGAGGCTGGTCATGGTCAGCACAGGGTTGGCTGCACCAGAAGACACACAGACCCCCCCCCTCACACACACACACACACACACAGTTTTTTCAGTTTCAGGGGTCTGTTTATAACAGTAAACAGTAATAATACAGTCAACAAAGTCCTTGCATGACCTCTTTAGCCTGATGAAGGCCAGTGGGCCACAATGTGTCCAAAGCATAAATAAAAGATAAAGTGCAACAATATTTGTAGCAGAACAAAGCAACACATTTTGCAGCTTAAACTGGAGAAGCTTTGAATTTTTTTTCCTGATTGAATATTTATCAATGTAAACACATTTTTGCGAGACAACATACAAAAGGTTTTTGGGAAATAAAAAAACAGTAATAAACTAGCAAAGCTCCTTAGAAACAAGGATATAGACGACCTACACACAAGGGAAGGCTTTCAATGGCAACTTTTTAGTTGTTGATACTTCATGATGCAGATGCAGCCGACTGAACAAACTGGTCCTGAACGTTTACCATCAGCACATGAACACAACAACATTATTAGCATTTAAATTAAAAATGCATAGTTTAAAAAGTGACTGGTGATTGACAGCGATCGATTCCCAGCCAAATCGAAGTCGCTGCGGTTGAGACAACCTGAGAAACGAACGCAACTCTCCTGCGAAGTTCGCCGCCCAATAAATCAAACCGCAGCAGAGCGGAGACCCAGACGCTGAAAGCACCCGTGGGGGCAGACGAGCGGAGAGGTGCCGAGAGCTTTAAGTGACCACAACAGCCCATCCGTACAGCAACAGGGGAATGCCACACACACACACACACACACAGAGAAAATAGGGACTTACTGACAGCAGTTAGGAAACAAACCCAAAGAGAGCTCAGGACTGAACCAAAGCCATGCGTTTGCTGCTATAAGCACAACGTTTCCTTCGTGCACGCACACACACACATATGCATCTACCTGCTCAGGGTGCCTGGGTTGCCGTGGGAGCCGAGCTGGACAGAGAGCTTCATGACTTCATGCCGCTGAGAGAGTTCACGCTGCCAAAAGTCTCTCCGACTGCCTCTCAGCCTGTCTCTCTCTTGCGCTCTCTCTCTCTCTCGCTCTCTCTCTCTCTCTCTGGGCTTACTCAATGTCTCTCGCCCTGGCAGTGTTCCTAGATTGAGCTCCTTTGTCGCTGGTTGCGCCGATGGTTCATCCCCCGGGCACCGCTTGCCTCTCTCTCTCTCTCTCTCTCTCTCTCTCTCTGGTGTAACGGAGAGGGAGAGGGAAGCTGGGGTGAGGGAGGCGGAGGGGAGGTGGGTGGGTGAGGGAAGGACCTGCCCTAGTGCTGGAAACACGAGCCTCCCCCAGGACTCTTAACCACTTCACTGCTACGGCCATGAAGCCAATAGAGCCACACACACACACACACACAAAGCTCTAAATAAGCCACTTCAGCCAAACGAGAATCAAGCGGGCAACACAAGTCGAAGCCACATGATCACAGACAAACTCCCCAAAAGTGGAGGACGATCCCTGTCCCGGTTGCTTTCTTGTGTGTTTCCCAGCTCTGGTTTGTGTGTGTGTGTGTGCGCGAGGCTGCATATTCCCAGACAGATCCACCCTGACTATCTGACAGGCCAGTGCTAATTAGAGATCAGGCGAGGCCGAGTGGCTCAGGCCGCAGCCCCTTGCTGGCAAAGCAACCCGCCAGTTATCCACCACGGAGCCCTTCAGGAGCCAAACACCAGAGACGGAGACGCTCGCTGCTGGCCGCCCACGGCAGGAAGTGGTGCCAAACGGAGGCCAGCAAGGCCGCCGACTAATAGGTCGTCTCACTGCAGATCCGAAGAGCTTCTTACTCTGCTTACCTCTTAGAAAGGCCAGTTCAAACAAATTACATAAACATCTTTCCTCACGTACAGCATCGGGCCTTTTAAAGTCTTTGGAGGTGTTTTTCAGCTTTCAACATTACAATAAGGAGGTCGGAGGGATTTTATTTGCGCCGCCCACAGAGATAAAATAGGATTTCGGTCACTCACTAGAGGCACAGGACGGCCGGTAAACCGGTCAGAGAGGACACTAGTGGAGAAGGAAAAGTGACCCAGTGAGGACATTCCAGTGAGGGAGCCTCGCCTGCTGCCAGCTCCCTTTAGCAAGCTTTCTGCTTTCCCAAAAGGGTCAGAGTTCAGAGGCCGAAGCTCCAAATAGGAGAGCGGTGTGGGGGAGGCACGGGGACCAATGGAAAAAAGGGCTGCCACGTGGCTCAGCCAATAGGAGTGTCTGAAAGCGGCCTGAGAAAAAGGCCGTGGTCGTGTTTGTATAACTTTTCTTGTGTGTGTCCCTCGGGGGGGGGCAGCGGCGGGTTGATGGGTTCGTTGGACCGGCGGTACTGTAACCCCCCTCCTGAAAAAGCCGTGCAATGCTGGCACATGCACACAGGGTCCGTGCCGCAGAAATGTACACACAGACATGTGGCCACAACAGAGCCGCGGAGCAGAAGTAAGGGGATTTCCTGCGTTCGGGGGGGGGGGAGCAGTGGTCCTCACACTGGATCATATAACCCCTGAATCTCTGTCCATGTCCACACAGACAGACAGACTGACCTGGGGAGGGAGGGAGGGGGTTTTGACTGTCTCCATGACTTAAAGCCCTCGGGGTCGCGGGGGTCGCAGCGTCTGAACTGAGGAGCGGGTGTCGTGACTTCCCCGTATACACGGTGGCCCCAACAAACACGGTTCCTATCTGTAAACTTGGTTTGCATCATGGCACAACAAGGAAAACTAGTTTGTCTTCTCACGGACCTATAGGTCATAATACAATATCACTTTGTTATTATATCTTTATGATTTGACAATGATATAGTGTCAAAGGTTCGGATGCCAGCGCATAAAATACCTGACGTTCCGGTAATCATTAAGTGTTTAATTTCCACAGAAACCACCAGAACCTGACAACGTTTACGGTTCATGCCTCAGCTAAAATCCATTTTTTTCAATGTTACTGTTAAAAGACAAGAAACAGGGCGGCCTCAGCCTGAGGCAGCCAAGAGGACACGGCACATTCCAGGCCGGAGGCCGGGACCGCGCGGTACGAAAATGACACAGCTGTCCCTCCGCTGACGAGAAATGACAGGACTGGACATCTCACTCGGGAATGCCTCTCTCTCCCTTTCTCTCTCTCTCTCTCTCTCCCCCCTGTCTGCTCACATCGTCTCATGCCTTTGGCAAAACATTTGCTATCTGCATTCGGAGAATCTACGAAAAGCACTTCGACCCCTCTGGCTGCCTCTCTGTCGTCCGACTCGTCTCTTTCTCTCGCTCAGTATCTGTTTGATGTGTAAACAACCCAACAGTAAAAACTAATAACACATGTGACACGCATCGGCGGATGCAGGCACGCGACTCCGGCAGAACTCGTCGTGCAGCACAGTTTAAAAGAGACTCCTGGGACAAACATGTGAAATGTGTCACGTGTGTGCAGACCACAAACCAGCGCATCGTCGCCGCGGTGCGAGAATGGAACACAAGGCTGCAGGCTCGTGCAGAGACATTAGGGCACCTAGTCAAAATTATTTATGAAATTAAAAATAATAACTAAATAAAAAACCCGTATTTTCAGCTTATATATTTATTTTTGTAAACAAACTAACTCAAATTGAATGAATAAATGAATATCAGGCAAAAACAGACAAAACCAAGCCATATTGTATGACCAAATAATATGTTAAATAATTTGATAAAAAGTTACTTAATTTAAGGAGCTTCAAGGGAGCATCCTCCTTGGTGCCATCTCTTGGAAGATGTTTACTGTTTTATTTTACAGTTGAAGCATAAGCAGCACAAATATACCTCCTTAGTATATTGATGCTGTCCTCACCATGTAGCTCAACTTAAGAGATACCTTTCATTTCAATAATTGCATATTAAACAAAACTAACCTTTTTAATTTGTAGAACAGTAAAACTGCCTTTAAATAATCTGCCTGTCCCTGTCTCTCCCCCTTCATTAAACGTGACAAACGTCAGTAAATAGCTGAACAAGACTTTGAAATCTCAGTTTTTGGTTTGTTTATTTTTTTGGAAACGACGGAGCAGTTGCGACGTAATGTTTTCACCGGCACTAATGTGGTTAATTTATCACCGAACAACGTCGGGGGATTTAAACTCCGTCATTACCTGTTGGTCCGATGCTGCAGCCGTTTGGCGCTCAGCACTGCACGAGCACAACGTGGAGGAGGGAGGGCGGGGCTTGTGAGCGCTGCGGAGGAGGAGGGGCGGGGCTTGTGAGCGTCGCGAGGGGGGATGGGGCGGGGCTTGTGACAATAACTCAAATAAATGCCC